TATATAATACCAGACCTTATTTTTCTTGTTTACTCTTGTACCCTCCGCATGTAGGACAATACTTTGCACACTATTTTTCGAATCACTGAATGAACACATCCATTATAAGACTGCCACGTCAAGTCATATAGGACTCAGCAAAATACAAAGTGTTTACACAAACTAAACCTGGTATCTTGACAATAAGTTAGAGAACAAAAAAGTAGCCATAATGTTTTCTTTCTCATGCCTAATTGGCTGCTACTTATATTTGAGAAAAGGGGAAGGAAAACAGCTATAAGAAAAAACTGGGTCAAAAAAAAACACTTTAAATGTCCATTTGATATGGTCTTTGCATTGAAAAAATTTTCACATTAAAAAAAAAAGACTTGAACTACAATGAAATACCACTTCACACCTACTACTAGGATGGCTATTACTAAAAAACAACAACAAAAACAGAAAATAAGAGTTGGTGAGGATATGGAGAAACTGATGGGAACCCTTGTACATTGCTGGTGGGAACGCAAAACGGTGCAGCTGCTAGGGAAAACAGTTTGGTGGTTCCTCATGAAAATTAAACACAGAATTACCATATGATCCAGCAACTCCACTTCTGGGTAGATACCCAAAAGAAATTAAAAGCAGAGACTCAAACAGATACTTGTATGTTAATGATCACAGCAGCATTATTCACGACAGCCAAAAGGTAGAAACAACCAAAATGACTATAAACTGGTGAAATGATAAACAAAATGAGGTTTATTTTGTTTATTAGAATGGAATATTATTCAGCCACAATTAAAACATAAAATTCTGACCCATGCTACGACAAGGATGAATCTTGAAAACATTGTTAAGTGAAATAAGCCAGATAGAAAAGGACAAATATTTTATGATTCCACTTATATATGAGTTACCTAGAAGAGGCAAATTCATAGACAGAAAGTAGAATAAAGATTACCAGCAGCGGGGGGAGGGGGGTAGAAATAGATAGTAGTGGTTGTTGCACAACATTATAAATGTACTTAATGCCACTGAATGGGGCACTTAAATACTAAATTTTATGTAGTACATATTTTACAATAAAGAAAAAAATTGCCAAAAAGAAAAACAGGGAGTGAGTATACTAAATGAAAGAAACCAGACACAAAAGCTTCATATCTTACAATTCCGTTTATATGAAATTCTAGAAAAGGCAAAAAACTACAGTGACAGAAAGCAGACAGGTCGCTGGGGGTGGAGAGGTGAACTGCAAAGAAATACAAGGGAAATTTTCGGAGTGATGGAAATACTCTATATTTTGATTGTGGTGGTATTTATAAAACTATATACATTTGTCAAACACATCAAACCACACAGTTAAGTTTGATGAATTTTATTGCATGTAAATTATACTCCAATAAAACTCACTTAAAAAGTCAAAGAGAGGGCTGGCCCAGTGGCTTAGCGGTTAAGTGCGCACACTCCGCTGCCAGCGGCCCGGGTTCGGATCCCGGGCGCGCACCGATGCACCGCTTGTCCAGCCATGCTGAGGCCGCGGCCCACATACAGCAACTAGAAGGATGTGCAGCTACGACATACAACTATCTACTGGGGCTTTGGGGGAAAAAAATAAAATGAATAAAATTAAAAAAAAAAAGTCAAAGAGAGAGATGTGAGATGATCTAGGCCTATGTAATCGTTTTAGAGAAAAAAAGAAACTGAGTCCTTGAGCATCCAAGGTCACATAGCAAAACGGGACTAGAATTCAGTTCTATACATGAAGTCCAGAGCTCTTTATAGCATACAAAATGACGCTATTGGGAGTAGAGGGTGGTGGTGATGGATGATTATATTAGTAATTCAATACCTCCGGCTGGAATACAGATTTGAAACTCTTATTCTGAGAGTTTTGAAGAATTGATGAAGTTACACTGGAAAACTGTAATCAAAACCTTTAGCAATAGATGTTCACTTTCTACCAGTAGAATGCTCCCTACTTTGCAAAGCAACTACTCCATCTGTCAAAATTCCAATGAATGAGATTTTGTATCCTTGGATCTTAAATGCATTCTGCCCTCTGAAGTAATATCAAAGACTTCTTTAGTGCAGTTTATTTATTTATTTATTTATTTGTGTGAGGAAGATCAGCCCTGAGCTAACATCCACGCTAATCCTCCTCTTTTTGCTGAGGAAGACCGGCTCTGAGCTAACATTTATCACCAATCCTCCTCCTTTTTTTTTCCCCCTCAAAGCCCCAGTAGATAGTTGTGTGTCATACTTGCACATCCTTCTAGTTGCTGTATGTGGGATGCGGCCTCAGCATGGCCTGACAAACAGTGCGTTAGCGCGCGCCCGGAGTCCAAACCCGGGCCGCCAGCAGCGGAGCGTGCACACTTAACCGCAAAGCCACGCAGCCGGCGCGGCCGGCCCTTTAGTGCAGTTTAAATATCCAGGGCTTCCACAGTCTTTCCTTTACAGGCCATAACATAGTCTGTAACCATTTCACAGGAGTTTGGGTATTCAAATTAGGTACGACACTACAAATTTTCTACAAGCTACTTAGAATTGAACTGGATCATTAGACTTTTAGGAAGACTGTCCTTGGGATTGCGGGGGTAGGGAGGCAGGCATATTACCTTATTGGCTAATTCCTGATTTCCTGTCAGTTAAAATTTCTAGGTCTTTGTTACATAAAGCATCACTAAGATATATCTTTGAATTTTAAACTTAAGGGCAAGGCTATATATTTGTTTCTGTGAAATAATCTTTTATTTTAGTTTCTTATTCTGAACAGACTGTGTAAATATTTTGGAATCTTGATTCATCATCCCACATACTAGCTACGTTTCTGAAACAGTTCATGTATAAAATTCTTAAACATACCTTCCATATGAAGATTTAAATAACAGATTAAAATACTTGAAGCACAGGTTTAAACAACAAAGACCTCTGACATCTCTTCTCTTCAACATAAATAGCTTCTTGATATAACTAATCACCCATAAAACCACTTAAGTTTACTACTTCCATCTATATTTCTCTACCTTGACCAGAAAGATGTCATGAGAGAGCATACCAAATAACTTGTAAAACTACACTTATGGCACAGTTTTTGTTTATTACAGAAACAAAGTTTGTTATGACTTATACATAGCAAATTGGCTTTTAGTAAATAAAAGTTATTTTTCTAATTGTTCACAAACCAGATGTTCTAGGAATTTTTAATGAAGCACCATCAAGGTCCGTGAACCTCTTTTCAGATATCTAACCATTATCACAATGTAAGAACTATATTTGCCCACCCCAAAGCCTTTAGTATTTCTTATATTCTAAAATCTTTTAAAGACAATAATATTTCTATGATCATTTTGCAAATCATTTTAATATCTAGGGATATGCACCTTCCTTTGAAATTGGAAATTTAACCAAGGCTCTGTTATTTTCACCTATTTTGTCCATTACTGCTTTATATGTCTGTTTTACAGTTTATGCTAGTTAAGGAGAATGTCTGCTTAGTGAGAAAAAAAAATGGAAACAAAATTGAAGTAGAGATCTGCTTCTCCTTATTATATCTTAGCCCCACAATGTGGGTCTATCTTGTCCTTGAAAAAGAGCACAAAGATTCTTTTTGTTACACTTAAAAATTTTCAAAAGCTTTAGTTCATTCTGGCCACTTTTGCTTGCCCACTTAACTTTTTCTTTATAAACTAACATACTGTATTTTTGATACACATCTATCTAGAGGTCTCAGTATTTGAAAAACTATGCAAAAAAATTCTAGTAATTCATGATTCTAATGTATTATGACTGTAGCTTATGATAAATGCAAATGTAATACTTACCATTCCTTATAACAAAATCACACTGCACTGATAACTCAGTTCAGCTTAATTCTCAACATGAATCTCCAATTCTGTTTTTCTATTGTTATGCTTTGATAGTATTGACATTTCATACAAAGGCAGAACAAAATATTTGAGTTCCTAACTTTTTAGTATTCTTTTACCACTCTCCTATCCATTTTTCTTAAACCTCTCCAACAACATAATTTTTAAAATTGATGCTATGGTTTTTTCAATTGCCAAATTTTTTTTTGCTTTTAGTTTTCTGATTTTTGTACCCACATGATGATGTTGTTTCTTAATTTTACTGAATAAAAGTAATGTCCAACTTTGAAGTCATGCTATTTGGCTTGCAGTCCCATAGAACTGTAGGTTTAACACAACTTTTTTTGGCCCACCCTGTGGCAGTCAAACTCCTACTTGAGAACAGAAAACTGAAACAAGAAATAATATCTTTTCAAACAGTTGGCTCTTCTTTTTATCTCTCTTCTTGATTAAGACCACAGTAGTCTGAATTTGCCAATGGAAAATGATGTCTAAGTTGCAAAAGATACCTGAGGATAACCGCACAATCAGTAGCTGTTTATACCCTAAGTTAGTTAACATAATTTTCAAAAGTTCTTTTTTTTTCATTTTGACTTCTCTCATTTTGAAAAAATATAAGCATATACCTTAACCCATAATTTAATGTCTTGATGTAGAAAAATAAGACTATAGTATTTCATTAGACATAAATTACCACATTATCAAAGCTTTAAATGAGATCATTACATATACTCTACATGTTGGATAATATTTCATCTGCATAATTAAGAAAAACTAGCTGAAACTAAGATTTAAAAATTACCCATGGTAAAATACCTATTATGAAACAGATTTCTAAAACCTAAAAAGCAGGTCTGACATACAGCACTTATTTTCTATGACTTAGAACATAATGTAAGGAAAGAAAATATTACCTATTTCTAACAAAACTGTGTAGACAGAAAAAAAATATTAGAATGAGGAGTCTTTAGGCCACAATAAGACCTCTAAGTATTACAGAACATAAAATTGATTAATTTAAGAATTCAATTAAAGTTAAAAATAAAATTATTTAAAAATAAGAGCACAGAAGTTGTGCTAAAAAAAAAAAAAAAGGTTTAAAGGGAAGGGGACAAGAAACGTGAGAAAAAGCACTACCAGACTCCTTACCCATTGTTGCTGGTGCTGGAGCTTCCTGATGGTATTTTCAGCTCGCTCCAGTTTAGCACTGGCCTCATCACTCTGCTGTTTGATGGTGGCCAACTCCCGTTTTATGAGGTAGTTTTCCTCAGCCTCCTGGGCTCTTGTCACTTGTCCCTTAGGACATAATTTTTGTGTGTGTAAAGCAATTTAGGATAGATTCAAGAAAGACTGCCTTTGTGAGGTTTAGTTATTTACTTTGACATGTTAAAAAAAAAAATTACCTCAGAGAACAGAACAGCCTAAGTAATTATTAGCCAGAAGCTCATTATTGTTCCAGCAAATTTTGGGAAACCAAATGAAAAAATTCATCTGACAATCTTAAGAACAATTCTTCTTTCAGTCAATAAAAATTCAATTCATGCAATATTATTGAGTTGTACATGCAGGACTAAAATTTCAATGGATAGTGGTTAATTTTGCAGAATCCACTGATTGTCATTTTGAAATAAATACTCTAAAGTAAGGTTAGCTTGAAAACGTGCAAAAGATGTTTATTTTAATAAACCAAGATAACACAGTTATCAAAAATTAAGTCTACACCCATATATATCACCCAAAAAAATTATTTCTAGGAAAATGCATGTAAAATTGCATGCATTAAAATATGAATTTCTAGGTTTAGGACTTTCCTTAGAAGTAAGGTTAGAGAAAATGCTGAAAAAAAAAACTATACCTGTATCAATCTATCTGCCAAGGAAGCACTTTCCTACAAAAGGAAAAATTCAGACAGAAATATAAGAGAAAGAAATAAAATAAAGTGACAAAATCAGGAATAAGAAGAAACAAAGCATACCCAAATTCCACCTACTTTTCATTGTAATTAAAATAGATTTTAAAACTATTTTTTACTGAATGTGTTTTTATTCTTTAATCTTAAGAAAAATATATCAAAATAAGGATAGACTGCAGAAAATCATATGCTTCTAGAAGAGGCCAAACAAAACTTCCAAGAGCTTTTTCATCATTTGAGACAAGTAAATATCTTCTTTTTAAAGTATACTTTTAAATCTTTATTTTTAGAGTCAGCCATATTGTCAAACCACTTATATGAAAGGGAGAAGGAATTTGAGTAAGCAAATCCACTTATAAAGTGTGACAGCAATTTGTGCAACCCCAACTTCCAAAGAAGCAAAGCAAGAAAAAAATGACAAATGAAATAAATGAGCTCAACGTAATAAACTCTAGAAATAACTGAGTAAGTAAACTTTTGGTTACAGAATTTAATTGATACATAAGTATTTATAGAATTCCAAGTGCCAAAGAGCACACCTAGGCCATCTAAACCAGTAAAAGGTACTTAGTTTTCTAGAAGCAAAATCCAAACTTAATACTTTCCTACAGCACCTTTATCACTCTGAAGGTTCAAAGAAATAAAAATGCTTTCTCTGTGAAAATGTCTCACTCTAAAGATAAAAGACCACCCAAGATGTATATTTTACTGTAAACTGAGTATTTAGTGAAAAAAAAAGTATATAATTGAAATAACTTAAAAATAATTAAGCTCAATCTTTTTGCAGAGTCACCAAGAATTATCCTCAAAGCAACTCTAAATAAGATGAAGGAAACATAGGAAAACTATTTTTGACTTAATATAATTTGCCTGCAATTTGTAATAAACATCCTGTTCTTGTGCAGTGCTATTTAATATGAAACCATCAATACTTTCAAACAAAAGATAAATATGCAAACTATCCATATTTTCATTTATTTCATTCTTGAATAGCAATCTATAGATTTTCAGGGAAGATTTTAAGATAGTTCACAATATCATGAGGAGTATTTTTACACCTACTTATTCTCAACTTTGGTTAAAAAAACAACAACAAAAACACCAAAAGAGTTTGTGAATTTAGATGTTTTTCTTATAACAAACCAAAACTTTTACACTATACCTTTATTTCTCAGTAAATTCTTAAAGTATTACAAACAAGACTACAAAAGACATTACATCAAAAGCACAATATGAAAAGAATACAGATTTTCCACATTTGCCCAGTTATTTCATATGAAACAGAGAGGAAGAGGTAACAAGTGGTATGAAAATAATTCTAAGAACCAAATTTTAAGCAAAATTCCCCTGTGCTGAAAATCAATATCATGGTGAATTTCTACAAAAGAAATTAGTCAATCATTTTGACCAAACTTAAAGCAATCCTAGGCCTTAATGGAATCCCTGCCACACTTAACACGTGGCTAGAAAGTCAGGGCAACACTTGAAACTCACCTTTAAAATAGTATACAGAACTGATTCCCAATTAGGTTACCTCTAAAGAAGGTACTTTTTAGAGATTATATGTAAAGAAAATAAATTAAATCAATATGTTACTTTAATAATAACCTTAGTTAAAACTTTAACCTTAAAGCTCAAGGACTAGTAGTAATCAATTTTTATTAATGACAAGTTATTAAGCAGTAAGCTAGGCAATCTAAGTAGTCAATACCACAACTTTGGAGACACATACTAGACTTCTTGAGCCTTTATTTAAAATGGACAGAAAAAAATACTGTGCACTCAACAGAAGCCTGCATAAGTAGTCATTTACTTACTTTTTCTAATGTTTCAATGCGCTGTTTTAAAAGTCTATTTTCTGTGCGTAACCTCTGCAAAAAAAAAAAAGAAACATACAAACAAAAAAAAAGGTTTGTTTGCAAGCATTCCTGAGAGGAAAAAAAATACCTAAATCATAGTCCTTAAAATGTACCACCTTTTCTAAATAAGAAAAGAGTCTAAGGATTGGTTATATTATCATCTGTCAAATTCTTAAAGTCTAAGAGTAAGAAATACATGGCAAAGGAAATGACCACACTTATCATTCCAGCTGTGCTTGAATTTTAAATATAAGTACAGTACATACAGAAATAACCCCTTTCTTTTCTGTACCTATCATAATGACTTATAATCAATATTTTCTTATGTCTTCACATCCCCATTCGATAGAAAAGATTCTAACTCATTTATCTCCTACAAAGCCTATCCACATAAATAGTATTCAAATGTCTATCAAATAAACAAATAAGAAATATAAAAAAAATGCATGCTCATAGGATAAATATTAAATTGTCAGTTTAGACCTAAACCAGCCTCCATTTCTAATGCAACATATATGCCAAGTTGCAAAATTCCTTACATTCTAAAAATATAAAGAATGAGTTGTTTTCATCAAATGAATTGTGTATCATGAACTGTTTTAAATGCGAGAATATTAAAAGCTCCAATTACTAGCATTTACTCATAGTTCAAAAAGTAAAACTAGATTAAAAAAAAAATCATCACCTAATTGTTCAATGCCTGACTCCCAAAACCCTCTCAAATTACTGCCATTAAATCGAAAACACTCTACATTAAAAAAAAAAAAATCATCTCCTTTTTGCATAGTCCACCAACATAATTCATATTAATCCCATAGATAAATTATCCTTTCATTTTAGAATCCCCTAAATGTTATCCCTTCGTTTTGCCATCACTCTAATTTCAACTCCCCTCTTACCTTTTTGTACCAATTTGCTCCAGAGCTCAATCCAGCCTTCTTTCAATCCTGCCTTCCTCTAAATTCCAGCTAAAAAAGTCTTCCTCAGACAACTCTTCTATTGACTCAATCTGTCATTTTGCCAGTAAAGACTAAAATATAGTTTCTATAACATATAAAACCTCAGACCAAGGAAATAAAAGACTCTATGAATTATGGTATCTTAATAAGTTGACTACAAATTAGAACAAACCAATCTTAGAGTTATTACAAAGATACTTTGCACATTAGATTTTCTTGTTCTATTCAGAACATATTTAAATGATTTGAAATAGGTATTATTTTATGTGTGATCTCAGACTGCAAAATAGCTTGAGGAGAAGAAAATATTTCTCATTTCTTGGCTCCTCATATTATGTGTAATGTAATATGAGTAGGTGGTCTACACAAAAAAGTAATTATTAAATCCTTTATAGTCTGGAAAACCAAAGAAAAAATGTGATTCTCAAAATGCTCTCAACATATTTAATCAAAAAAAAAATAACACTTTGTTTAACCTAAAAGATTTAGAAAGTTAAGATTAACAAGACAATTGAGTGAATAAAGTTAATGTTATAACAGAAATAATGTTAAAACAATAAAATTTAGAACTAAAAACATTCACCTGGATTTCCTTCTCTATCCCCTTTAAAGCTTCTGAAATTTTGCTATAAATACAAATCTAAATTGATTTTTCTCCAAACATCTACCCAAATGTCTTAATATCACTTTTAAAATAAACCATCAATTCCTCATTTGTGTGATATCCACTTTACCATGAATTAATAAATATAATAGACTTTATCAATCAGTAAAGACTATTTCAGGGTTACTTATTAAGTTTCAAGTGTATCTTTTTTGGACTAGTTTCTTAGTATTTTGGTAATTATAGCTTTGTAATCCCTTTTACTATCTGGTAGAGCTAATTTCCCTCATTGTTATACTGTTTTGTTTATCCTCCTCAAACCTTAATTACTAGTATACCAAATTAGTTAAGAGACTGGGTTTTGAAGTTAGGTAGGTTTAGGTTCAAATCCTCACTCTACAATTAACACCTGTGCATGTCATTCAATGTCTTAGAATCTCCACTTCCTCATCTAGAAAATTAGAGTAATAAAACCTACAATGATATTGGAAGAATTAAATGACATAGCACAGTGCCTAATATATACCAAACACTTGGTCAGTGATAAGCATTGCTCATAATATTTTTGAAGTTAGGCATGAATATTATTTTATTACTTTCATCTATTTTTTACAATTCCTTAGATTTTTTTATTGTTCTGAAATATCTCAAGAAATTAAATTTGACTGGATTCGTTAATGTGTATTTTGTGGAGAAATTTATATCTTTATACAACATGGCATTATTTTTGTCTCTCCTTTTATTGATCTTTTTAAAATGCCTGTATGCAAAGTTTTTCAGTGTTTATTTCTTGGGTTCTTTCCCATTTTTCATGTAGGTTATTTCTAGATATGCTTTTATTTTTATTTTAAATGGAATTTCTTTTTCTAATATATTTTTGAAATGTTTATTGCTGACATATAGGAAAGTTAATGACTAAAATCTAACACTTGACTGATTTCTCACTAATTTTTCAGTATCTTTTTTTTATTTCAGTGAGGAAGATTGGCCCTGAGCTAACATTTGTGGCCAATCTTCCTCTTTTTGCTGAGGAAGACTGGCTCTTAGCCAACATCTGTGCCAATCTTCCTCCACTTTGCATGTGGGACACGGCCACAGCATGGCTTGATGAGCAGTGCATAAGTCCCCACCCAGGATTTGAACCCACGAAACCCGGGCAGTCCAAGCAGAGCACACGAACCCAACCACTACGCCACTGGGCTGGCCCTGAGTATCCTTCTTTTTAATCACACTTCCTGAACTAATTAAAGGAATGTTTTCTACACTTTAAAGTGAAAAACCACAAAGACAAAGACCAATAGATATGCACGCTTTGGGCCGCCCCGTGGCTTAGCGGTTGGGTGCGCGTGCTCCGCTGCTAGCGGCCGGGGTTTGGATCCTGGTCGCGCACCGACGTACCGCTTCTCCGGCCATGCTGAGGCCGAGACCCACATACAGCAACTAGAAGGATGTGCCACTATGGCATACAGCTATCTGCTGGGGCTTTGGGGGAAAAAATAAATAAATAAAATTATTTAAAAAAAAAAAGATATGTACACAAAAAAAAAAACACAAACTAGAATTTTTTGACCTATCAGATTGAGAGTGAGAGCAAGAATGAAATACCTAAGGTAATGCTGGCAAATTATTACTGAAATGGAAACTCACTGCTAAGAATACACTCTGGAAATAGTCTTTAGGAAATTTACTTAGTATATATCAAGTCTTAAAAATACTAATATCCTATAATTCAATAATTCTACTTTTTACAACTGGCTATGGAAACACGAGGTGCTAAAAAACTTTATATACAAAGATCCTAACTATATTTTTAATAATGAAAAATAAAAACAACATAAATATCCCACAATAGGGAATCTCAGTTTCAAACAACCCACTCTTCAACCATCATCTCCTGTTCTTTCCAGATTATTTATTTTATGACATAACCCAAGCTCAAGAATCCTCCTTTTTATAGGGACAAGCCAGCGATTCTCTCAGCTTTTCATTGTCTTCCACTCCCTGATGTTCTCTCTTCCCTCTTTACAAAGTTTAATTTCCAATCATTATAGACTTTCCCTTGCATTCATCCCCCGCTTCCCCCCCTCCCTTAGTAGTCAGTATACTTGCCTGGTGAAACCACTACTCTGGGTCAACACACTGACAGCTCTGTATAGGCACCTATGCTGGTAATATGACCAAAGAAAAATAAACCTATGATATTCAAATTAACAATCACTAAAGTCAGTTGGACTCTTAATATGTCCTAGAAATAATAACGTATTTCCTTAGTTCATTCCTTCTCCCATTCTCTTAGATCACTATTTCATACTTAGTCCTCTTTCTTCAAACTAGGACCCTCCGCCCCACTGTCAGATGATAATCTTGCTTACGATTTCACTGAAAAAATTGAAGCAATCAGAAGAGAACTTCACAAGCTCCTACAACCGCAGTCTACCTCTTACCTCCATTTTTGCCCACGTATTTTACTTTCTCTCTTGGTATTGGGGATTATCTATCCATGCTAATAGCCCAAGTTAAGTCTCCTACCTATGCACTAAATCCCATACCCTCCTGACTTCAGCAATTATCCCCTGTCATTCCTTCATCATCAATTTTTCCTACTTAATTATCACCATAAAAACATGTGCTTATTTCTCCCATCTTAAAAAAAAAAAAAAAAGAAAACAAACACCATCAGTACCCTCTCGAGCTACTGTCCCATTTCTCTCTTCTATATAGCAAATTCCCTGAAAGATATCTACACCTCCATCTCTAATTTTTTCTAGTTCCATTCTAGCCAACTTTTAGTTCCCACCACTTCTCTGCTCTTTTCTGGTTTATCTCCATGCTGATAAACCCAATGATTATTTCTCCATCCTCATCTCACAAGAACTTTCTTCAGCATCTGACACAGTAAATTCTTCTCTCCTTCTGAAACACTCTTTTCTCTTGGCTTCTAGGACATCATACCTCCCTGGTATTCTCCTGCTTTGCTGCTTTGCCCTAGTCTTCCTAACCTTTAAATGTTGGCTTACTCTCACGCTCAATTCTTGAACTCTCTTCTTTATTTCATCTACACTCATTCCTCAGGTAATCTCATCACTCTCAAGGCTCTTCACCATCGTTGTGGCAATAACTGCCAAATTTATATTTTGAGCTGTCCTCTCTTAACTCCAACAACAAATATTCAAGCTACTTGAACATCTCCTAGGCATCTCATACTTAAAATATGCAAAACTGGGCTCCTGGTATTCCTCCCCAAACCAGATCCTCCTGTAGTCTTCCCCATCTCGGGTAATGGGAACATCATTTTTCCAACTGCTCAGGCCAAAATGCTTGATTCTTGTCCCTCTCTCACCTCCACATTCAATATGTTAGCTTTACCTTTAAAATCTATCAGAATCTAATCACTTCTTACCACCTCAGTCCTAGCCACCATCACCTCTTGCCTGAATTACTTCATCAGCCTCCCTGCTTCTGTTCTTGCCCCCTGCAATCTACTCTCAACACAAGAGCCAGAAGGATCCAGTGAAAACTTAAGTCAGATCTTGTCCTCCTCTACTGAAAACTCCAATCGCTTACCAGAGTAAAAGTCAAAGTCTTCACATAGTCAGCAACACCCTACATTATCTGCAATGTGCAACATCTTACCTCCTGTCACTTTCCTCATCATTCATGTTTCCCATCCACCACGGCCTCCTTACTATTCCTCACCAGGCACACTCATGACTAGATTCCTATAATATCTAGCTCCCTCACTTCCTTCAGGGCTTTATTCAAATGTAACCTGATGAACTTCTCAAATTTTTCAATTCAAACACTAACATTTTATTTTCCCTTCCCTAAGGTATTTTGTTCTCCTGTTTAACACTTATCATCATCTGAAATATTGTATACTTTACTTTTCTGTTTGTCTGATTTCTATACTAGAATGCCAACTCCATGAGGGCAAGAGTTGGTTTGTTTCATAAACACACCTCAAGTGCCTAGAACAGTGCTTGGGCATGTAGTAGGTACCACTACATGAATGAATGAACGACTTATTGAGTAAATTATGCTATTGTACCACCACTGGATATTACCATGCAGCCATTAGTTTTTTAACGAAAAGTTTGTAATGCCACAGTAAAATGGGCATCCAAATCCTTCTTACATTACCAATATGTTAAATTTTCTCTTGGAAAGCAGCACAGTGTATACACTGAAGAACACATATAGGCCTTAGAATAACACAAATCAGAGTTCAATCCTTGACTTTCACTTTTCTAGCAATGTGACCACTAGCATATTATTTGAGTTCTCTGCAGGTTAGTTTCTTCATGGAAAGAGGAGGATGAGAACTCTTTCATAATACTATTGTAATAATAAAAAGAGATGATGCACTTAGATGGCCCTTCATATATTAAGTGTTGAATAAATGTGTCAATACTAATACCTCAAATTGATTGTTAAATATAATTACTGGATGATTTAGATAATATTTGTCATGATTTCTTTTTTTATGCCACACAGTGGATACACAAGTGTTTTTATATTATTCTCTGTTTTTCAGCATATCTGGAATATTTCATAACTTTTGAAATAAAAAATATTTAATTTCTAACTAAAAACCAGTGAGAATTTCTAACACCTTCCATTTGCAGAGCTTTAGGTCTCTATGTCCCAAAGCATAAATTTGAGTATTAGATTATCAGTTCACATGTCTGTCTTAGAGCAGAGGATAAAGGTTTTTCTTTTTTAAAGATTTGTGGGCTACCCTAATATAAGCCAGAATTTTAATATTTCTTACCTCCTCCCCCTCAGGTGGAACATCAATAGATTGGAAGAAGATACTGATAAAGACGTTTCTATTAACAAAAATTTCACACAGTAAAATATAAGATTCTCTATATGAAAGCATTATTATTAAAATCTTCCTATAACACTTTCCAAGAAGGGGTGGAAAATACTTAAAAGTCACGTCTTGATCATGGAACTCACTGACAGATGTAATTCTTAGAATAAAAGGTCACCAACCAAAGGTCTTAGAATTTTGATTAAAGTAAAAAGAATGGAAACCTTAAACACAATGTACAACATCAAAGGCTGATTTTTTAATTCCATATCAAAACATCAAATAATTTGATGACCACACTATTTGCTGGTGTAAAGAAAGGTACAAGACTATCCCTCTGAAGGCTTTTGAGGAGGACAAAGGCAAGAAAGTACTAGTTTAACAGAATTCATTCCCTCGTAAAAGGGACCTCGGGGACAGGGAAGAGAGCGTGAGTAAGGAAGTGGCATTTCTCATTTTAGAGAAATTATTTATTGTAAATAAGGTGGTCATCTGATCACGACTGAGATGAGCTGCCAGTTCCAAGTCAAGAATCAGACATACCCAGACATAAAGTAAAACAAAAGTGCAGTCACAAAAATTGTTTTGACTTTGTCTTTTGAGGGTGGGAGGAGTGAAGAAAGAGAAGAAAGTGGTACAAGAGTAAGAAAGAACTATGTGGAAACAAGATTTCACAAAAAAGAACAGACTACCTTTGAGATCAGCATACTTTATTTACCTGATATATTCCACTAACTTTTTAAACTTTTTTTCTAGATTCTTCTCCATAAACAACTTTATGCCATCTGTTCTTGCCTAAGCCACATGCAGCTGGTATGCAGAAGTATTTTGTGAGGTATGTAAACTATAACTCCCCCCAAAAAAAAATTTTTGAAAAAAACTGCAAATACAGGACAAAGTTTGCAAAAGATCTTTTTGAAAAGGCCTTTTGGTATGCCTACATTCATGTAACAATTTTAGAAGAAACTTCTTCAAGAGCAAGGATTGTTCATAGAACTGTGATTTTTTTTTTCAATAACACAGCATGGTGAAATGAACAGGATGGCCTTCCCATCCTCAGATTCTTGATCTGCAGTTCCAAATATTGCTGGTATTCGATAACCCATACTCTCTCCCCACTCCTCAGGATGACGTACTTTTTACTTTCAGTAGGTTGAGGTGGAGGGTATGATTTTATATTACCCTTACTCATGGTACCTAAAAGGAAAGCAAATGGTAGAGCAGTGGTTGGGTGACAGAAAAAAAACAAGGAGGGAAAAACATCCACAGGGATCTTTTCTTTCTCTCTCTTAAAAATGTACAAGTATCTATTTCCAATTGATAGGAAATAGGTGACAGAAATGGAAATAAAACATCTAGAAAAGGGAGACAAAGTTGACAAGAGAGAGGGCACAGAGAAAAATAGGAGAGACTGTCTCCCAAGAGGCTTCTGAGGCGGACCATGGCAAGAAAGAGTACTAGTTTAACAGAACTCATTCTCTTATAAAAGGACCTGCGGGGTGTAAGTGATGTAGTGGTTTTTATAGCAAGGCTGAATTAACACATGGTTAATTAGTTGTGAATAAGGTGGTCATCTAATGTCTTGCCAGGTCTAAGTCAAAAATCAGACACACCCAAACATAGTCAAAAAAAAAAATATGAAGTCACTCAATAAAAATTGTTTTATTTTTTAAGCCAGACAGAGAAAGACAAACACTGTATAACCTCTCTCATATGTGGAATATAAACTAACACACGGACAGAGAGAACAGTTTGGTGGTTACCAGGGGGAAGGAAGTTGGGGGGTGGGCACAAGGAGTGAAGGGGCGCATTTATATGGTGACTGACAAATAATGCACAACTGGAATCTCACAATGTTAAAAACTATTATGACATCAATAAAAAAAATAGAGAAAAAAATTGTTTTATTTTTCTTCCTTTTTGCGGGAGGCAAAGAGGAATAAAGAGATAAGAAATTGGATCAGCCAGCTACTGACTTCTTTCACTAATTCACGGTCCTACTCATTATCATCCCCATCCTGAAATATCAGCATAAAAGCCAGTACAACATTCCTTAACTCCCAGCTCAAATAACGTCAAAGATCCTCAACTTGAGAATTTCTGGCCTTATAGGGGGTACAAATAAGAATTTTAAGGTACATATAGGAATTTAATATGTCCTTCAAACTGGAAATCTACCTGTTTCTCTGGAAAATATAGTTCAAAAGTACAACCTTTGTTTCATGATGAGAAAATTGAATCAGTCAAAGCCTCCTGCAGCTCTAAGGTAGCCATACTTAGTTCCAGTGCAACAATTTGCTCCATTTGGTCTACCTTAAACTGTACTGCTGTTAGTCTCAGTATGCTATATATTAACTTCTCTGTAACTTTTAAAAATATGCTTAAATGGAATGATAATTACCTTCCCCACACAAGTATTTTCTCCTGATGATCCACCAACAAATCTAGAAAAAGGGAAGAGCTGCTCTCCTCCACATTAGAATGAAAACCACTTCAGTCACATTATTCTGGTTTTTGAAATGTCTATTTTTAACCATAAGATAGTTGGATGGTAAATAAATTTATCAATCAATAAAGACAAACATCATTGCTAAATTTACTACAGATAGGTAACAAATATACCAACGTAACCTAACATCTATTGCCAAATAACTGACTCCAATCCATTTACGTCCAGCACTTTTGAAAGTCCCGAGATGCTTACTTTAATTTCAACTTGCTCTTCCATTTCCTTAGTTTTTATTGTAGTGTATTCCTTTTCAAGCCTAAGAGGGGGGAAAAAGTTAAAGGTAAGTTTTCATTCCAAAGTAGTTATTAAATGACAAAATTTAAAACTATATATTAACACAAAATATAATTGCGTTAAGTTCTCCCAACGTATAACTTGAGATACTTGACAAGAGAAAAATCACCTGAATAGGTACATGGATTCTTATTAAAAAATTTACTTCACAAATAACAAAAATAAGAACCATACAAAAGCAAACTTTAGAAAGCGAAATATATAAGGCACCAAACAGAGAACTGAGTTTACAGATTCTATTCAGCCCTAAATATACAAAAAAACTATCCATCCTTCCCCTTCAAATTAAAATACACCTATAAAGTTCAACTGGATCTTAACCAAAAAACACTTGTTCTAAAATTGACTAAGAAATTTATAATGAGGGGAAAAGGGATAACTATTCCTAACAAAAGAATTTCAATGAATAAATGTAGAAGGAATGAGGTGAATATAAAAATCACCATTAGAACTCCACAATAACAACTGCCGAAGACAAGAAAAATCAACAGATGCTAAAATTAGTGGATAAAAGTTTAAGTATAGTGTCGAAGTACCTCTCCCCAAATATTTAGTAATTACAAAGGGAAAAATAGTAAATTTATAGTACAAAATCTTAGCAGACAGCATCTGAGCCAAATGATCAAGGTTAGCATCACCAGTAACACATGTTGACATCGTGCACCCCCTTTTGTTAAAATGTTCTGAGGGCCGGCATCGTGGCTTAGCGGTTAAGTGCATGTGCTCCGCTACTGGCGGCCCGGGTTCGGATCCCGGGCGCCCACCGACGCACCGCTTCTCTGCCCATGCTGAGGCTGCGTCCCACATCCAACAACTAGAAGGCTGTGCAACTATGACATACAACTACCTACTGGGGCTTTGGGGGGGGGGGGGAAGAGGAGGACTGGCACAGATGTTAGCTCAGAGCCAGTCTTCCTCACCAAAAAGAGGAAGATTAGCATGGATGTTAGCTCAGGGCTGATCTTCCTTGCAAAAAAATAAATAAAACTGTTAAAAAAAAAAAAAAAAAAGATGTTCTGAGAAGGGCACCTCAAATCCGCAGTATCCTTTCCACTAATGCATATCCTCAATCTAATCAAGAGAAATCATCAAACAAACCCAAACTGAAGCATATTCTACAAAATAACTGACCAGCTTGCTTCAGAAGTGTCACGATCATGAAAGACAAGACTGAAGAACTGTCATCAACTGCAGAGGAGTAAGAAATGACAATGTACTATTTTTGCAACTCTACTTAGTGTAAAATTATCTTTAAAAAAATCTATAGGCTATACAGTATTAGTCCCAACAAGTTTTTTTTGTTTGTTTTTTTAATTGAGGTAACAGTGATTTATAACATTATATAAATTTTAGGTGTACATCATTATATTTCGATTTCTGTGTAGATTACATCAGGTTCACCACCCAAGACTAATTACAGTCCATTACCATACACATGTGCCTAATCACCCCTTTTGCCCTTCACCCTCCTCCCTTCCCCCCTGGTAACCACCAATCCAATCTCTGTCTCTATGTGTTTGTTTGTTGCTGTTTTTAATCTTCTATTTATGAGTGAGATCATATGATATTTGACTTTCTCCCTCAGACTTATTTAGTATAATACCTTCAAGGTCCATCCATGTTGTCGCAAATGGCAAAATTTCATCCTTCTTATGGCTGAGTAGTATTCCATTGTGTATATATACCACATCTTCTCTATCCTTTCATCCCTTGATGGACACGTAGGTTGCTTCCAAGTCTTGGCTATTGTGAATAATGCTGCAATCAACATAGGGGTGCATGTATCTTTACGCACTCATGTTTTCATGTTCTTCGGATAAATACCCAGCAGTGGAACAGCTAGATTGTATGGTAATTCTTAATTTTTTGAGAAATCTCCATACTGTTTTCCATAGTGGCTGCACCAGTTTGCACTCCTATCAGCAGTGTATGAGAGTTTCCTTTTCTCCATATCTTCTCCAACACTTATTACTTCCTGTCTTCTTTATAGCCATTCTGATGGGAGTGAGGTGATATCTCATTGTAGTTTTGATTTGCATCTCCCCGACAATTAGTGATGTTGAAGATCTTTTCATGCGCCTGTTGGACATCTGTATATCTTCTTTGGAAAAACGTCTGTTGAGATCTTTTGCCCATTTTTTAATTGAGTTGTTAGTTTTGTTGTTGTTGAGATGTATGAGTTCTTTATATATTTTAGATATTGACCCCTCATCAGATATATGATTTGCAAATATCTTCTCCCAACTGTTAGGTTGTCTTTTCGTTTTGTTGATGGTTTCCTTTGCAGTGCAGAAGCTTTTTAGTTTGATGTAGTCCCATTTGTTTATTTTTTCTATTGTTTCCCTTGCCCAGTCAGACACCGTACTTGAAAATATGTTGCTAAGACGGATGTCAAAGAGCTTACTGCCTATGTCTTCCTCTAGAATTTTCATGGTTTCAGGTCTTACATTCAAGTCTTTAATCCATTTTGAATTAATTTTTGTGTATGGTGTAAGATAATGGTCTACTTTCATTCCTTTGCATGTGGCTGTCCAGTTTTCCCAACACCATTTATTGAAGAGACTTTCCTTTCTCCATTGTATGCTCTTGGCTTCCCTGCCAAAAATTAGCTGTCCACCGAGTGTGGGTTTATTTCTGGGCTCTTACTTCTGTCCCATTGATCTGTGTGTCTGTTTTTGTGTCAGCGCCATGCTGTTTTGATTACTACAGCTTTGTCATATATTTTGAAATTAGGGAGTACGATATCTCTAGTTTTGTTCTTTTTTCTCAGGATTCCTTTGGCTATTTGGGGTCTTTTCTTGTTCCTTATACATTTTAGGATTCTTTGTTTTATTTCTGTGAAAAATGTCATTGGAACTTTGATACGGATTGCATTGAATCTGTAGATTGCTTTAGGAAGTATGAACATTTTAACTATGCTAATTCTTCCAATCCAAGAGCATGGAATATCTTTCCATTTCTTTGTGTCTTCAATTTCTTTCAACAAGTTTTCAGTGCATAGGTCTTTCATTTCTTCAGTTAAATGTGTTCCTAGGTATTTTATTCTTTTTGTTGTCATTGTAAATGGGATCCAACAAGTTATTTTTATATCTTGCTCTCAAAAAAAAAATGTTAATACCATGTTTAACTACTCCAAATATTAACAAGATCAGGCCCCAAATAACTTAAAGCTGCTTTCAAAAATCTAATTCTCCCTCAAAGGACAGAAACTTATTATTTACTATATATATAATCTCATTAGTGCATAGTAAATTTTTTTATTGGGGTAAAATACAAGTAAGATAAAATTTACCATCTTAAATATTTTTAAATTTACAGTTTTAGTAGTATTAAATACATTTATAATGTTGTGCAGCCATCACCACCATCATTTCCATAACTCTTTTCATCTTATAAAACTGAAACTCTACCCATGAAATAATAACATCCCATTCACCCCTCTCCCCAGACCCTGGCAACAACCATTTTAATGTTCTGTCTCTATGGTCTTGACAACACTAAGTATCTCACATAAGTGGAATCATACAGTATTTGTCCTATGGTGACTAGCTTATTACACTTAGCATAACGGCCCCGAGGTTCATCCCTATTATATCATACATCAGCATTTCCTTCCTTTTTAAGGCTGAATTGTATTGTATTCACTATATTTATACACTACATTTTGCTCATTCATTCATCCAGTGATGGACACTTAGTTGCTTCCATGCTTTAGCTAATATTAGTAATGCTGCTATGAACATGGGTGTACAAATATCTTTTCAAGACTTTACTTCATTTTGGGGGGGGTATATACCCAGAAGTGGACTTGATGGATCATATGGTAACTATATTTTTAATTTTTTTAGGAATTGCAACATTGTTTTACATAGCAGCCTTACTGTTACATTCCTACCAACGGTGTACAATGGTTCCTATTTCTCCATATCCTCACCAACACTTGTTATTGTCTGTTTTTGTGATAGGAGCTATTCTAATGTGTCAGGGGTGATATCTCGTTGTAGTTTTGATTTGCATTTCCATAATGATCAGTGATGTTGAGCATCTTTTTATGTGCTTATTGGCCATCTATTTATCATTTTTGGAGAAATGTCTGTTTAAGTCTTTTGCCCATTTTTTAATCCAGTTGTTTGTTTTTTTGTTGTTGAGTTTTAGGAGTTCTCTATTCTGAATATTAATCTTTTACCAGATATATGATTTGAAAATAGTTTCTTCTATTCTGTGGGTTGCCTTTTTACTCTGTTGAGAGTGTCTTAGGATGCACAAAATTTAAAAAGTTTCATGAAGTCCAATTTGTCTTACTTTTTCTTGCATTGCCTATGTCTTTGGTGTCATATTCAGAAATCACTGCCAAATCCAATGTCATGAAGCTTTTGCTCTATGTTTTCATCTAAGAATTTTATAGTTTTAGTTCTTACATTTAAATCTTCGATCCACTTTGACTTAATTTTTGCATATGGTGTTAAGTAAGTGTTCAACTTCATTCTTTTGCAAGTGGATATCCAGTTTTCCGCACACCATTTGTGAAAAGACAGCCCTTTCCCCATTGAACGTTCTTAGCACCATTGTCAAAAATCATTTGACCATATATGTGAGGCCTTATTTCTGGGCGCTCTATTCTATTCCATTGGTATGTATGTCTGTCTTTATTCCAGTACCACAATGTTTTGATTACTGTAGCTTTGTAGTAAGTCTTCAAATCACGAAGTATGAGTACTTTAGCTTTGTTGTTCAAGATTGTTTTGGCTATTTGGGATTCTGTATGAATTTTAGCATGGTGTTTTCTATTTCTGCCAAAAATGTCACGGGATTTTGATAGGGATTGCACTGAAACTACAGACTGCTTTGGGTAGTACTGATATCTTAACGATATTAAGTCTTCCAATCAATTAACATATGTTTCTATTTATTTATGTCTTCAATTTCGTTCAGGAATGTTTTGTAGTTTTCATCATACAAATA